AACCATAAAAAAAAAAAAAAAAAAAAAAAAAAAAGGAGCCCTACATCCATGAATAGAAAGCTCAGGTTACAGCGGGGAAAATACGGACTAGAGGAGGGGGGCTCGCGTCCCGCGGGGAGGGCTGAGGCGGGCGGGGGCGCATGCAACAAATGGGCGCGGGAGGAACGCGCGGCGCCGGAGGGGCGCGGGCCAGGCGCGGGGAGAGGCGGCCGGGGCGCCGGGAGCGGAGCTGGGCGGGCTGGAATGGGAGGCCGCCCAGCCCTGCGACCCGCGGGCTTGTAAACAAAGGGCACCCTGCGCAGGCTGGGTGCCCCCTCCCGCCAAGCCCGAGGAGCCCGCGGAGCCCCCGCAAACTTCCCGCCCGGCGCGCGACGCCCCCCGACGGCGCGGCCGAGGAACCCCACGCCGCCCCCCCTTCACACCGAGGTGGCGCGGGCGGGAAGGCGGGCGCCGCATTGTTGGGGACTCACTTGGAGGACCAGCCACGCCACTTGACCAGGTACTCCAGCTTGCCCTGCAGGGAGAGAAGAGGCGCGTGAGCCGGGGTGGGCGGGCGCGGGTGGGCACGGGCCGGGCCGCACGCACCTTGCGGAGCCGCTTGCTCAGGATGCACTCGGCGGCGAAGACCTGCTCTCCCACGCTGCTCAGCTCCTCCATGCTGCCCCGCCCAAACCGCGGCACCCGCCGCTCCCCGCACAGCCACCGCCGCCGCGCGCCCTCCCGGCCGCACACAAAGCACCGCCCCCGCCCCGCGCAGGCCCGCCCCGCGCACGCGCAATGCGTCCGCGCCCCGCGCGCCCCAGCCCGCCACCAGCCCGTGCGGGCCGCCCTGTTCTGGCATGGGCCAATGAGCGCGAGGGGGCGGTGCCGGGGGGGCGGTGCGCGCATTGTTCACGGCGGGACCAGCTTCGCGCCCCGGGCGGGGGTCCGGCGCGCCTGGTCTGGGTGGGTTGGGGCCGCGGGCAGCGCGCGTGGGTCAGGAGAGCGCGGGCGGGTCCCTCGCGGGGAAGAAGGAGGCGCCTTGCCTCTTCGGACCTGGCGATCAACAGTCGAGTCCCGCTTGGTCTCCGGGGTGAGCCTGGCCTCCTCCGAACTTCGTTTTCCGGGCAAAAAGCCATTGTTCTGCCCCGAAGCGGGGGGAAGTTGGGACGCGGCAAGGCGGCCGCTTCCTGCCTCTGTCCCCGAGGGGCGCTGCTTGGGGCGCGGAGGGCCCAGGCGCCCTCCGCATTTTTGAACTTGGTCTCCTTTGGTCTCGGGCAGTCGTACTATTTTGCGTGGGAGCAAAACGGGCTGGGGCGGGGGAGGGGAAGGAATGGAAGACAAAGTGCTGGGGGAGGAGGTGAGCGGCAAAAACGGAGCAGCCCAGCTTTTTATCTCAAAGGCGAGAGAGGAAAATGCATCTGGTGGAAACGAACGGGCTCTTCGTTCTTTAAGTTGTGAAGAGTGGCACCCAACCCCCAAGTTTTAGGGCGCACGTAGGGGGAAAAGCAACTGCACCTTTTAAAAATTTATTTCATGATTTTAAGGAAATGAATGTGGAGGAGATGGGATCGGGATTTGAGGACATGGTTCTAACCTAGGACCAAGTCATTAATGGGCCCGCTAGGATTTGGCAGTCCATGTCCTTTGGATCAATTGCATGCGGCAGAGAGGAGACTGGACCGGGTTTAGAGAAGGCGGTGGGCTGGAGTCCGGTGCGGTCATCTTCGGCAGCCACGCTTAACGCCGTTCAGATCGGTATTCCGTGAGCAACTCTTCCCTTAAATCATTTAGATCTTGAATCAGAGCAAGTCAAACTAGTAATAAAGGGGATATACGTTAGCGCTTTTTTTTCGTATCAGTACAGTTTAACTCAAAATTCATTTTCTGGCTTTGTTTTTCCCTTGGACACAGCTGCAAAGTACTCTATGGGTTGAGTAAGTCAAAAAGTCGTTTCTTGTTGCAGGAAACTGTCTCAATGTAATTTTGATCATTAAAACCATATTTATAAAGGATTCTGCAGGAGAAATGTATTTTTGTTGTTGTTTTAATAGGAAAGGCCTACTGTAGAAAATATGGAACTTCAGGAGCCCATCTTTCAATTTCTGGCATGTTCTTCAGTTTATTTGGTTAAATAGATTACGTTCATATGATATCCTGGAGAGAACTTGGGTAACATTTGCAGACTCAGATATTATTTGCAAAGGAGGTGGGAAGAAGGAAGGTTGCTTTTGGTGGGGGGTTGATTGCTTACTTGGCGGGGGGCGGGGGCTGCAGCCCAGGATACCTGTTTTGGGATAAAACCTGCACTCCTGGGGTAGAGAGAACTGCGTACAGTCTCTCTCCAGCTCTTTTTGTATCCTCATCTTGTGGAGCCAGGCAGTAAATTGTGGAACTGAGGCCAAAGGTGTATTTATTGTAATCCTACAAATAGCTGGATCAGTTTCAACTCACATTTCCTTGCAGAATTCATCTTGGGTGTGAGGTTTTTGCCCTGGAGGTTTCCAGTTTCCTCTTGATGATATATGTTATCCTGGGATACTTGCTTAATTTTTTTTTTTAAAGAAAAGAAAGCTTAAAAAAGAGAATGTTTTCTTCCCCTAAGAAATAAGTTTGTCCAGAATGTGATCCTAACTCATTGGGGGAAAAAAATCGATTTCTTGGAAGGTTTAATACATACATTGTCTATCCAACTGGGGACGCCCAGTTTGGGTAAAATAACGTTTAGATAATTTATTGGGAGAAACAAATATGACCTATTTGACTATAATTAAATTATCAGATAAATAGGGTGAGGTATGATCCAAAGTTTGTGAAGTGTTCCTTAAAAACAAAACTGGAAGTTGACAGAATTGAGGAATGATTCCAGCTAATCCAATTGTGTCAAAACATGGGTTTGGGCCAAAGGTGATTCCGTTTTGACTGTCACATTTAAGAATTATTAAGACAAATTAGAACTAATTATTTTCTTATTCATTCAACAAATGGTTCCTCAGCATTTGCTGTCATCTAGACATGACTGGATATGGTGCAGAGTCTGTAACAGCGCTGTCTAGTAGAAGTTTCAGAGAGGATGGAAATGCCTTATGTCCATGTGTTTCAGTGTGTCAGCCGCCAGCCATCTGTGGCTAGTGAATACTTGAAATGTGCTGCTGAGGAATTACTTTTTAATTTAATTTAATTTTAAATAATTTAAATTTAAATAGCCACGTGTAGCTAGTGGTTAAGTACTGGGCAATACAAGTCTTTAGGAATGCAAGGACTATACTTTAGACATTTTCAATGAAAGTAATGCAATTATTGATACTTAAATTAATCCTGGAACGTGAATAGTTTATCTACATTTCCATTTATACTTTACTGTTTATGAGAATGTTTAAAACAGGTACAAAAAAAATATTAAAAAATACAGGCATACAGACAAACAAATACTCTGTTGAATGCCAGTTAATGTCTGAAATACCACCTAGAAAGGTTAAATATTTTCATGCTGCTCTTGTGGATCCGAAAACAAAGATACCGAGACAAGAAATGAATGATGTGACGGTATTATTCTCAAGTCAATGGAAAAGTCAGAAATTGAGATGAAGCCAATACCCTGGATCTGTCAGCTTTGGCAGTTAAAACTAAATAACACTGGCTACATCTTACAAAACAGTTTCAGGCCAGCTCTTAGTTTTTTTACAAATACTGTCTCATTACCGTAATCAGAGCTGGCTAAAAGGAGTAACTAACACCATCCACACTGGACGCACGCTCAATGGTCTGCACGGGATAAACTCAGGATGTATAATACATTGCACAAACTTGAATATTTAATGTGATGATTTGTCCCCCAACCAGGTCCGCTCACATTTGCAAGCCTGAGGTATAACTTACAGGCTAGCTGTGTTATGTGATGCTGACTCTGTATATGCAATGGATAAATGTTATACATACATGACACACAGTGTTTATGTATCAGAACTCAAGTAAAAATAAGCACAGTTAGGGCCCTTGCAGAAGTTCTCAAGCTTTCAGTTTGCCTAAGTATCCCCTGGGCACACAATGCAAATATTGAACCCTGGGCCCCACCCCAGACGTCCTGACCCAGGAGACCACCCCCCCCCC